GTAAATTTGGTCTGGTTGCATAGCTATTCTGGCCTTCAGCTTCTTCATCTTCAGAAAGAGTTTAATAATCCCATAATTACCGAGATAATGTATATTAACAGTGCTAAAGAATAGTACAAGCAGTAGGTGAACCAATACAAACTCAAATAAATTGATCATATTTGAGTATGTATATTCCCACCAGCCATTCCTCAGAAACCTTACACAGAGTTGCTGTGGTTCAGAAACAACTTGATGGCACTTAACAATAACACAGTCATCCAAAAGGTCAATTTTACCATACTGCTTCTTAGGAGAAAGATTTTATTAATAATAACAACAACAAAAACCTGAAAGAAATCAGAATCTATGGCTTTCAGCTGCAGTTCGGAGACTCATGAGGGATGAGGAGTCTGCACCGATGCCGATAAATAGGCTTTAACTTAGGCCCAAATTCTAATTAACTGCTGGAAGTGCTTTGGAGCATTGTGTTGAGAAAGATCCTATGTCCATATCTGGGGTTGGAATCCCTGAAAGCTCAACTCGCTGCCATAGAGTCAGTTCCAACCCAGAGTGACCCTGTATATACGATTTCTGAGGCTCGACCAGGGCTCCTTTCGGAATCCCTAGGTGGTCAAATGATTAACATGCTCAGCTGCTAATGAAAACACTGTAAACCACACAGAGGTACCTTAGAAGAAACAACTACTTCCAAAGCATCAGCCATTGAAAGTCCAATGGAGAAAAGTTCTATTATGACACACACAGGGTCACCAAGAGTTGGTGTCAGCTGGATGACAACTGGAATGACTGCTTTGGCTGATGAGCAGTATCAGTGAGGGGTGAAGGAAGATGAACGTCAATCCCTCATCAGGGATTTGCCATTTCAACTCTCATTACTGTTGCTGTTGTTATTAACTCCCTTGACTCATTGTGACCCTGTATACGGTTTCCAAGCAGTAGCTGGTGTTTGAACTATTGACCTTTTGGGTTGTAGTCCAGGGCTTATCCTATAGCACCACATGAAAAACATGACAATAAATAAAACTCAGCATCATATCTAGTGGTTGTATGGCTTTCCATAGAAAGCTTTTTATAAAGAGAAAAACAATTTAGCAGAAAAAAGACATTGAATTTCTAGAAGCTTGAAATAATCTCTTTGATCTCCCTGTTATAATAATGATTAGAAATTTAATTCTAAAGGCCTATGTTCATGGGATAACATTATATGGTGTACAGATCCCAGGAAAATTAGTCAATGCATATTCTTTATTACAAAGACAATAAAGTTTACATGGTGGTTAGTATTTTATTATGCAAAAAAACCTTATTTTTTTAAAACCAATCCAGTAATTTAGGTCCTTGGTAAGTACCCGCTATGGGCTAGGCATCATGGTAGGTGCTATGAAGGATATAAAACATCTACAACAAGATTCCTACACTCAGGAGTTTTATGAACAAGCAGAAAAGCTCAGGTAAAACAATAGAGAATATGTTCTAGACTTGTTAACGCTGTCTTTTCAGAACAGAAATACATTTATGAACTATGTGACTCTAATTAGCAGGCAAAAACATTTAAGTAGATAATTTTAACTACTAAAAAAAATTCTTTTTAATGTATTGGGTTGAACCATATGAACTTAGCAATATTTGACCACTTTTGACTTACAAAAACAGCTACTTTGTATGGATTTACCTTTGGTAAAAATATAATGAAGAGCTAAAGGGAACTATGTTTGGGAATAAAGCCTAAACAATTCTGAGGGAAACACAAGAATGTAGAGTGCCAAACACTTCCAGTTTGCTTGAGACTAAGGGGTTTACTGAGACTGGAGATTTTCAGGGCAAAAAGCTAAAAAGTTCTGGGCAAAAATAGCTAGAAAGACAAGATGAACAGTCAAATCAGTCACATTGTCCCTTGGTAACAGAATCAGAATAGAATAACTGGTTGGTTCCGGTCCGGCATTTCTTAGGATGCTTATTTTTTCTATAGGCAGTCCCATGTTATAATTGTTCAACTTACGTACAACCCGAAGTTCTGAAGGAACTCTGTAAAGTCTATTATAGTAAAAATGCAAAGTACATACAATGGTTCATAATAACAAACAGTGGGTACTTCGTGATGTGCATAAAAACATTATTATTATTGTATTATTATCTTGAAGATGTTTTAGTATATCTGGAAGTATATCTTTGATGTTTCTTATGTATAGGTGGCTGTTGTTCTTAAGTGCCATAGAGTCAGTTCTGACTCACCAGTGACCCTGTACAGGGTTTCTAAGGAATGGCTGGTGGATTTGAATCACCCACCCTGCAGTTCAAACTGGCCTTGCGGTCCCAATGCTTATCCTACAGCGCCACACCAGGACTCCTTATGCACAGGTCGGTATACTATATACTAATTCCATCTGACAGTAGTACCTAACTGTTCCAATATACATGCAAATCTGATTTGACAGATTTAGGAACCTAGGTACTACCTATGCATTTTTACATGTGCATATTTACCTTATCTAATTTGCCACCTTTCCCTTTGGATGCAGTAATCAGAGGAACTCTTGTGATCTCTACAGGCCAAAGTCTACAATCAGCAATTCGTTTCTGAAAGCTGCAAATCAAAAATCAGTCTATTAGCAATACACGCAACAATGGGATTAGTAAAATTTGGTTTAAAAGGAAGTGTTCCTCTCTTTTAGAAAGTAATGGAATCCACACATATAGACATCTTTATCAGGTAGGTGAATTTTTTGTAGCCTTTCCAAATTTATAAAATTCCAAAAATAATTCTACTTTGTTGATAGAAGGCAGTCCCTGGCTAGCTGCAAATGGTTAATTTGTGTTTGTGCTCACTGCTCTGAGGCACTTTGAAACAAAAGCCTAGTAATCACCTTAGAAAAATCAGCCATTGAAACACCTAGTGTGTCCGATTTAATCTGATACACATGGAGTCACAGTGAACTGGTGGTTTGTTTTTAGTTTTACTGGTAGCAGAGAAAACCACACATTTTTAGAGCAGTAAAGCAACACCGCAATATAGGAGTCCTGGTGTGGCGCTGCCGGATAATGGGCTGGACTGCAAGGCTGCTTTGAACCACAAGGTCAGCGGTTCAAACTCACCAACAGCCCATAACAATAACAACAACCACCTGACTTGGGGAAAGAGCAATTAGACAATTCCAGCCCACTCTAACTTTCCTGTCTCATATAAACTAAACCCAAAATTTGTTACCATTGAATCAGTTCTGATTCATAATAACCCTGTTGTTGTTAAGCGACTCACAGCAACCCTATATAGGGTTTCTGAGGAGTGGCTGGTGAGTTTGAACTGCCGACATTGCAATTCAAGGTCGAGTGCATCTGCTACAACAAACGCACCAGGATTCCGGTAACCATGAAGGACAGAGTAGAGCAGCTCCCTAGGGTTTCCAAGAGTATAACCACAACAATCATCTTTAGGGAAGCGGACATCTTTCTCCAGTGCAGCAGTTGGTGGGTTCAAACCACCCACCTTTCACTTAGCAGGCGATTGCTCTACCACTGCACCACTAGGGCTCCTATACCTCACAGAGAGGAGGAGGGAAAAAAGACTGTTACAAAACCACAGTGAGGTACAATGTCACACCTACCTGGATGGCTACTGGAGTCCTGGTGTGGCGCTGTGGGTTAATGCACCAGACTGCAAAGTCGTTTGAATTGCAAAGTCAGCAGTTCAAGCTCATCAGCTGCTTCTCTGAAACCTTATACAGAGTCACTATGGGTCAGAACCGACTCGAGGGCACTTCACAACAACAACAGCAAAGGAGTGTCATTATGGAGTCCTGGTGTGGTGCTATGGGCTAAAGGGCCAGACTGCAAAGTCAGTGATTTGAGCTCACCAGCTGCTCCTTGGAAACCCTACACAGGGTCGCTATGGGTTGGAATCAATTTGATGGTACTTAAAAACAACAAGGATGGTTATCAGAAAAATGAAAAATCATAATTGTTAGTAAGACTCTGGCTCGTGCTTTATGGTGGGCATGTCAGATGGTGCACCCCCTGTGACAAACAGTTTGGTGCTGCCTCAAAAAACTAAATGACCATTTGTTCTTGTTAAGTGCTGTTGAGTTGGTTCAAAATCATAGTGACTCTGTATAGAGTTTCCAAGGAGCGGCTGGTGTGTCTGAACCCCCGACCTTGCGGTTATCAGACCTCCAGCACCGCACCAGGACTTCAAAATTACTATATGATACAGCAATTCCACTCCTATGTATTTACCCAAAAAAACTGAAAGCAGCAGTTCAAACAGATACTTGTATACCCTATATGGCAGTTCTACTCTGTTCACTAAAGTATTATTTTATAACAGCAAAAAGGTGGAGCAACCAAGTGTCTATCAGCTGATAAAGAGAACAACAAACTATAGTAAATCCACGTAATGGAATATTTTCAGCCACAAAGAGAAATCCAGTTTCGACACATGCTATGACATGGAAACCATTATGTGAAGTGTAGTAAGTCAGACACAAAAGGACAAATGCCATATGAGTCCATTTATATGAAATATCTAATTCCTAAAATGCCCATTAGATGCCGTCAAGTTGATTCCGACTCACAGTGACCCAATTAGAACAAAATGAAACCCTGCTCGTCCTTTGACAGCCTCACAACTGTAAGGATGCCACAAGCAAATACATCCAGAATTTTCTAAACTTCGTTAGCGGTTATCGGGGACTAGAAGGAAGAAAGAATGGGGTGTGGCTGCTGAAAGAGTACTGGGTTTCTGCTTGAGATAGTGGGGAATGTTTACAAACAGATAAAAGTGATGGATGCACAACACGGTAAATGTAGTTAATGTCACCAAATTGTACATTTAAAAATGGTTAAAATGGCAAACCCGGTGTCATACGGGCATACGTCATTTTAGTGTGCGTCACAGATTAGATTGTGGTTTTTTACCAGCTGAAGATCTATGGCGATCCTGTGTTGATCAGTCTCTCGGCACCGTTCTGCCAACAGTCTGCGCTCACTTTGCGTCTCTGTGTCACGTTTTGGTATTTCTTACACTATTCCAAACTTTTTCATAAGGCTACAATCTAATGAAAGGAGCTCTGGTGGTGTAGTAGTTACGAATAGGGCTGCTAATCTCAAATTGGCAGTTTGAAACTACCAGCTGTTCCACGGAAGAAAGATGAGGCCTTCTGCTCCCGTAATGATTTACAGCCTTGGAAACCCTGTACAGGGTCGCTATGAGTCAGAACCAACTCCACGGCACATAACAACAACAACAACATTGTATACTTAATGAAGCCCTGGTAGCACTGTGGTTACACTTGGGCTGCTAACCTCAGGGTCGGCAGTTTGAATCTACCAGCTGCTCCGTGGAGAACGATGAGGTTTTCTGCTCCTGTAAAGATTCACAGCCTCAGAATCGACTCCACAGCCCACCACCACCACCACTGCACATTTAATGGAATACAGTCTGCTGTCAACATAACTTTTATATGCACTGGGATCTAAAATAATTTATGTTACTTGCTTTATTGTGACATTCAATTTACTGTGGTGGTCTGGAACTAAACCCACAATAGCTCCAAGCCTGTATATATTTTACTAAAATAAAATTATTTTTTAAATGGATATAAAAGGTTCCTGAAAATCACTATCCAGAGACAACAAGACATATTAAAAATCATAAGATTATCTAAAATGCCTGCCTTTCCCAACACCTTGCCACCATCAACAGCGCTCCCATACAACTGATTGCTAAAAAACTGCAGAAACAGAACCTACTTAAAGGACTTTCTAGGGGAAACCAAAGACAAGAGGGGGAAAAAAACACAAGAAACTGAAGCCTCTAACCACTACAGCCACAACAGACACTAAATATAGCCCAGCTTCTAGTAAGAATAATAAAAAAACTTCACACTAAAACTCTCATTACTCCAGTTCCTACTACCTGATGCATAAAGTTCATATTTCAATAAAATAATGCAAGGAATGCTAAAGACAAGAAAGTGTGCATCCTTCAGGGAAGGGAGTGGGGGGACTCTCTGTACATACGGCTCAATTTTCCTGTAAATCCAAAGACTGTTTTAAGAAATAAAGGACAATTTTAGATGATTTAGAAGTCACAGCTGCTCATTCAGATTATACATGGATTTATAATCTCCTATTTCTCATCTCTCCATAACAGCAACCCGCTGTTAGCAGAAAGGCACAGAGTCTCCATGCTATCTGAAAGCAGTCTTCCTATGAAGTCTTCTGGAAGCCAAGAACCAATTACCATTCATTTACATGGGAACATTTTTTAAGCGTTATCAGATCCCAAAAATAACCTACCAAATCATACCAAACAGTACATAAATCCTGAAATAACACTAACATCAAATGTTCACAAACAGGGCAAAGCTGTGGTTGCTAAGCGTAGTTCCAGGGGGTGGAGCCTGAGAGCACCAATGGCAGGGCGCTGGGGGCTCGACTACTAACCCAACACCGAGTACTACTTTTGCTTTTCAACCTTTTTTGTAAAAGTGAAAATCTCCAGCTTTCTTACTGTTACTGAAAATAGGTACTCATGTAGGTCTTTCGTAAAGCAAAGTGGCATAAAACAATTTTTTAAAAAAGCAGAAGACACCTGTCAGTGGAAGACAATAACTTAGCTAGTCTGTTCTTCTTCATCAGTAACACACTTTTGATCCAGTCTGGGTAAAAATGTGCCCAGCTAAAAAGCCAAAATTCCCAGCTTCTCTCCTATCTAGAGATGGCTACTGGAGTCCTGGGGTGGTACTATAGGATAAGCTAACCACAGAGATGGTGGTTCAAACCCACCATTCTCTCCTTGGAAACCCTAGACAGGGTCACTGTGACTCAGAACCAACTTGACAGCACTGCCAACAACAACAACCACAAGGTCTTTGTAGGAGCCCTGGTGGCACAAACAGTCAAGCACCCAGCTGCTAACCTAAAGGTCAGCAGTTTAAATCCACCCAACAGTCCCAGAGGAGAAAGACCCGGTCATCTGCTTTCATACAGATTACAGCCAAGAACACCCAAAGGATTAGCTCCACTCTGCCACATGGGTCATTGTAAGTGGGAACCGATCCAATGTACCTAACAACAACAGGATGGTCTTTATGTTCCCATTCTCTTCTTACCTGACCACGGCAGGAGGATCAAGGTAGCAGCGACTTTCCAGGTCCCAAATTATCCTTTTCTTGATACACTCTGCTTGATTCCTGAATTCCCTGTCCTGTAAAGAAAGATAGAGACTATGTTCTCTGTGTCATAGACTGCCATCCTACTCAATCTGGGAGGCATTCTTTTAATGGATTTCATCAGAATATTTTTATTACTGTTTCTACTAATACAATTTTGCTGTTCTTACATGCCGGCGAGTTGGTTCTGACTCATTGCAACACTGTATAGGATTTCCGAGGAGAGACTGACGGGTTTGAACTGCTGACCTTGCGATTAGCAATACAGTGCTTATCCTACAACACCTAGGAACTGCAGTGGCCCAGAGGATAAGTACTAAACTCCGAACCATGAGATCAGTAGTTCAAGCCCACCAAGTGCTCCGTGGAAGAAAGATGATGTGTTCCACTCCTGCAAAGATTTACAAGGTTGCTATAAGCCTAACGGACTCAATGGCACTTAACAACAACTATATTAATAAAGTATGCTAAGATACGTTACAGTACTTACATAAACCTTCATCAATCCAGTACTAAGTGCCAAACATTCACTCACATAACCTCAGTCAGTGATTCTCAAACCTAGCTGTTTATTAGGATCATCTGAAAGTTACTTAATAAAAAAACAACAGAACAACTAGGCACTACTATTATTTTACGGAGTCCTGGTGTGGCACTGTGGGCTAATGCATCAGACTGCAAAGTCGGTGGTTCAAGCTCACCAGCTGCTCTTAGGAAACTTCATACAGGGTTGGAATCGACTTGATGGCACTTAACAACAACTAGTATTTTAAAGGTAAATTTTAATGTAATGGACACAGAGTGGGGCTTAGAAATCACCATTTTTTTAAAGAAAAGCTTTTCAGGTGCCTCTAATGTGAAGCCAGGACTGAGGTCTACAAATCAAATGACACAGGGTAAATAAAATATGAATTTAAGAATGGTATGAATTTTCACTAATCACAATGATGAGTACATATACTGTACTGCATTTCTCACTATAGCTATCCTTTTCACTTGAAATAGTCAGATATCAAATATAATTCAGCCATACTGAGATAATCTTTAAAATTTAGCTTTAAACAAAAATGTCCTCTGAAGTCTTCTTAAAACCGAACAATAATTGAGTTTAACTAGTAAAGAATAAGGAGCCCTGGTAGTGTAACGGGTCATGTGTTGGGTGTTAACCACAAGGTCAGCAGTTCAAATCTACTAGCCACTCCAAGGGACCAAGATAAAACTTCCTGCTCCCATAACCATTTATAGCCTTGGAACCGTGATACATGGTTATGAGTTGGAACTGATTCAGTGGCATGCAGCAGTAATGAAGACTGTTTGCCTTCAGCAGTGTGCTTTTAGACCTATAAGTACGGGGCTAAATTGACAAAATCATGTTGAAAGATTAAATAGGAATTTGAGGGTCAGTGTTTATGTTAGTAGACGAGAAACAACTTGGAAAAGGAGGATGAGAATGTTTACGTGACTCAAAGAATGCAATCAGTGTCAATAAAATTCATATGTCAAACTTGGTGAACTGGTGTTTCTTCTGCTGTGTATATTCTCAACAACCACCACAAATAAATTGTAAGAATTAAAAAAAAATTCAACCATTCTTATGTTACAATTTTTAAAATATATTTTATTGAATATTTCCACTGATTATTAGTTGACAAAAACATTTACAGATGTTTGCATACTGTTTTCCATGCCCTTGGCTAAACATGCTACAATAAAAAATATTTTACAAATAGATTTCACATTGATCTAAATGTTCAACAATTGGAGACTAGTTAAGTCAAACGACCTGTGTTGTTGTCAGGTACGGCTGAGTCAGTTCTGAGTCACAGTGACCACATGTGTACAATGGACTGAAACACTGCGCAGTGATGTACCATCCTCACAATTGTTATGTTTTCAGTCCATTGTTGCAGATACTGTGTCAATCCAGCTCCCTGAGGGTCTTCCTTATGCTCACCCTCAACTTTAACAAGCATGATATCCTTCAACAGGCACTGGACCCTTCAGACAACATGTCAAAAAACCATGAGATGAAGTCTTACCATCCTCGATTCTAAGGCGCATCCTGGCTGTACTTCTTCTAAGATAGATTGATTGGTCAAGCTTTTGGCAGTGTGTGGTAATTTCAATATTCTTTCTAATGCCATAATACAACAGTATCAAATCTTCTAGTGTCCTTCTTGTTCACTGTCCAGCTCACATGCATGTGAGGAGATTGAAAGTACCATGGCTAGGGTCAGGGGCACCTTAATCATCAAAGTGACATCTTTGCTCTTGAACACTTTACAGAGGTCTTGTGTAGCAGATCTGCCCAGTGCAATACATTGCTTAATTTCTTGACTGGTGCTTTATGAGTGTTGATTGTGGATCCAAGTAAAATGAAACCCTTAAACTTCCCACTTCTCCCCGTTTGCCATGATGTTATCTACTGGTCCAGCTGTAAGGAATTCTGTTTTCTTTACATTGAGTTGTAACACATACTGAAGGCTGTAGTCTTTTATCTTTAAGTAAGTTCTCTTCACTTTCAACAAGCAAGGTTGTGTCATCTACGTATAATAGGTTGCTAATGAATCTTCCTCTAATTCTGATACTGCATTCTTTTTCATATAGTCCAGCTTCTCAGATTATTTGCTCACTATGAATAGCACTGGTAGCGCAGTGGTTACGAGTCGGGCTGCCAACCGCAAGGTTAGCAGTTCAAAACTACCAGCAGTTCCGCGGTAAAAAGATGAGGCATTCTGCTCCTGTAAAGATTTACGATCTCGGAAACCCTGTGCAGGGTCACTATGAGTCAGAACTGACTCCATCGTACTTAACAACAACAACAATGAGCAGTACTAAATTGCGAAACTCAAGGTCAGAAGTTCAAGTCCACCAAACTGCTCTTAGGAAACCTATACAGGATCACTATGAGTCAGAACCGACTTGACGGCACTTAACAACAACAACAATAGAGATTGAATGAGATTGTGGTGGTTCTATACGATAAGCACTGAACTGGGAACCACAAGGTCCGCAGTTCAAGCCCACCAGTCACTCTGTTTGAAGAAAGATGAGGCTTTCTGCTTCCACAAAGATTTGAAGCCTCAGAAACCCTATAAAGGGTCACTATGAGTCAGAAGTGACAAAACTGCACTGAACAATAACAACATACAAACTGAGTAAGTACGCTGAAAGGATATAATCCAGACATTTACCTTTCCTGATTTTAAACTATCCACTTTCTTCTTGTTCTGTCTGAATGACTGCCTCTTTGTGTATGTAATTTCTTCATGAGCATAAGTAAGCGTTCTGGAATGCCTAATCTTCACAATGTTATCCATAGTTTCCTATAATCCACACAGTCAAATGCCTTTGCATAGCCAATAAAACACAAGTAAATATCGTTCTGGTGTTCTCTGCTTTCAGTCAAAATCCATCTGACGTCAGCAGTGATACCCCTTGTTCATGTCCTCTTCTGAATTTGGCTTGAATATCTAGCAGCTCCCTGTCGATGTACTGGGGCAAAAGTTTTTAAATTACCTTCTTAAATTTTCACTTGCTACTGTTCTTTGATTTCTGCATTCTATTGGAATGCACAATCTATTGGGCACAATCTATTGGGCACAAATATGGATCTCTTCCAATGGGTTAACCAGTTAGCTGTCTTCCAAATTTCTTGGCATAGATAACTGACCACTTCCAATGCTGCATAAGTTTCTTGAAATTTTTTCAATTTGTATTCCATCAATTCCTGGAACCTTGTTTTTCCACCAATGCCTTCAGTGCAACTTGGACTTCTTCCTTCAGTACCATCAGTTCTTGATCATATGCTACCTCTTGAAATAGGTGAACACTGGCCAATTCTTTTTAAGTATAGTGAGTCTGTGTATTCTTTCCGCCTTCTTTTGATGCTTCCTGCATTGTTCAATATTTTGCCCATGGAATTCTTCAGTATTACACGTCAAGACTTGAATTTTTCCTCAGTTCTTTCAGCTTGAAAAATATTGAGCATGTACTTTCCTTTTGGTTTTCTAACTCCAGGTCTTTGTACATTTTATCATAATATTTTACTTTGTCGTCTCAAGCTGTCCTTTGAAATTTTTGATCAGCTCTTTGACTTCCTCATTTCTTCCATTCACTTGACCTTCTCTATGCTCAAGAGCAAATTTCAGAGTTTCTTCTGACAGCCATTTTGGTATTTTCTTTCTTTCCTGTCTTTTAATGACCTTTTGCCTTCTTCCTGTATAATGTTTTTGCTGTCACCCCACAATTCCTCTAATCTTTGGTTATTAGTGCTCAGTGTGTCAAATTTGTTCTTGAGATGGTCTCTAAATGTAGGTGGTATATATTCAAGGTCATATTTTGTGTCATGTGAACTTGTCTAAATTTGTTTCAGCTTCAGTCTGAGTGTTTCTGTGTATATTCCCTCCCTGCTCACTCCCACCCCCCCCAAAAAAAACAACAGGGAATGGAAGCAAATACTGTTGAATGATGATGCATGGAGGAGATTGTAATCATTGCAATGAAATGATAGTGTAAAGCCAATGTTTTCCCATGTAAAC